GTGCACTAACCACAAGGCCTTTCTGCACCCCACCTACTTCTTGTTCACACCCCTAATCCCCTATCTGTCTCAGCCCTCATTGACCCATGACCTAACTCTCTCTCTGCTTCCCTCGGGATATTACACATTCCTTTTCTGTTGCTCCATCCGGGTTTGCATGACCAGCACACCAGCCATGGAGGTTGCTCAGGGGTAGGGCCTATTCTTCTCTCCTCTGCTGTACAGGATTCTTTCTTCCTGTGGTGGGGAGAGAGGGGGCTGGGGGGGTCTCCGTATATTTCAACCCTTTGAAGTGGAGCCTGCTTTCATGTCTTTTTTTCTGAGCCTTGGGTCATCTGTCACCCTTGGGAATTACAGGCAGTTTGTGCCGTGAGGCTAGAGCGTCCCTATTTTCCTTGGGAGCTTCTTTTTCCCCTTAGTCTATCTTCTGAAATAAACACCCTCCCTCGACACCCTCTCTTGAAATGTTGACCTCTAATGAGGTCCCTAATAATCAGTGTTTTTTTTCCCCCCTTGGAGAACTAGAATTTTGTTCTCCCAAGGCAGCAGGTGCCAGGCCATCTGCTTTGTCATTCCAAGGAAGGCTTTTGCAAATCAAAAGTTAAGGCCTTCATTCAGGAGAAAGGCTGAGAAATATAACGCTCTCACTTGCAGAGAGGGAGGAAGAAGGCACCTCTCACTGCATCTGAATGGCCCTCACTCTACAAAACTGTCACTGCATTTACAGTGTTGCTGGAGATTTTGGCCCCCCCACAGGGGAAATGGTTGTAAAGGGAAGAATTTGAATTTACGAGGGGACGGGTTTGAATTCAAATCCTCCTCCCTGCTGTTTTTCTTAGGTTGGGGTGCTTGCCCTCTCTTGAACCACTGTAGGAGAGAAATGATTGTAACTCTTAAACTTTGGGGTGCCTTAGAGGGGGTTTTGGGGATTGAACCCAGGGCCTTGAGTATGCGAAGCTATACCCACCCCGAGTTCCCAGTAGTTTTAACTATTTAATTAGATGTTCTGAAGATGGAAGGAGAGGGTGTCTGCTAAGCCCTTGTCACTTGTTCCTTCCCATCTGGTTCCGTACCCTGAATGTGCACAAACTACTAGCTGAGGTTGCGTTAGCGGCAGACCATGGCAGGCTCTGGGGAATGGCTTCAGGATCTTCTTTAGCAGTCCGTAATTCCCACATCGGAGTTCAGATGGGGGGGGGGAGGACAGTTGGGAAAGAGCCTCGTGGGGGCCCGTGGCTAGCATAAGCGTGTTTTCTAGTCTGGACAGAAAATATAGGTGTCTGCTTTCCAGGTAGAGTGATGCAGTGCCTAGACTTGTGAAACACTGGCTCAGGGATAAGTTTCCCTTCTCATCAGGTTCTCAAGATCCATGGAACTGTGTGTGAGTCCACCTGCTGTCTCCATCCCTGAATCTACTGAACATGTTTTTATCTTCTGTCACATTAGTGATAGCCAGCTTGTTAAGGATAAACCTAGAGGCAAGGGGTGTAGGTTTGAAACTGAGGAATTGAATGAGGCTGGAATGGGTCCCTGACAGGAAGGTGATGGATGTGAAGAAATCTAAATTCCTTTAGTTTCTGGCCTCGGTCCACCTTGGTTGGTGTGATGATTGATGGCTCTGGAGGTAAGATGGATGAGGGTGGGCGGGCTCAAAAGGAAGCACCAGCAGACTGAGCTTTGGAGGCAGTGGTTCACCAAACTCGCCACAGAGTTCTTTTCTTTCTTTCTTTCTTTCTTTTTTTTTTTTCTTTGTGTTTTCTTAGTTAAAACTCCTCTATAAACCCACAGGGGCCACAAGGCATGTTCTCCTGGGGTGATCACTTATACAAAGCAGCGAGGATAGTTTTGTTGCGGAACACCCTCCACGCCGAGGTTATTTGGGTATATCAATACAGAGCAAGGGTCAGGAGGTGGGAGAGCAATGTGAAGGCATCAGGATGGAAACTCTTGTTAGGGATGCAGAGGGAAAATTGGAGTTCTTTCATTTCCCTAACAGTATCACAACCCAAGTCAGGTGTCAGGCTGGGTACTTTGAAATTCATCTTTATTGCCGGTCCATACTCAGGATCATGCAATTTTGTGCCTTAGTTTTTACTTCCCAGGAAAATAGTCTTTGCTTTGGTTGCCTACTCAAAGCGTTTGCCCTCTTAGGCAGTCTCTCCTCTTTCCCTGTTACCACACCTGTCCATACCGTTGTGTGTTTTTAGCACCTTGCTTTGAACTGGGTCATGGAAAGACACATTTCTATGGATTGACCATTGTGTCTTATCTCTGACGCTTGGTGGTGGTGGTGGTGGGGGGGGCTCAAACTAGAAGTGATAGAGGTCAGGCTGGACCAGACTTTAGGGAAACCTGCTTGTGGTTTCCCTTTGATGCCTACTTCCTTAGTGAACATCTCACCTTGATCACTATGACCTGAGACTGAAGACGGTTTTTACCTTAACTATTTGAGTGCTCAGCAGTTAAGAATCTGCATTCTTCCAGCAGAGGCAGAGCACCTAAGTTCAGTGCCCAGCACCTACAGCGGCGGCTTAACAACCTGTAACTCCAGTTCCAAAGGAATCGGAATCCTCAGGGCCTCTGCGGACACTCGCCTGTATGTGCACAAAGCAAAAAAATATTTGTTGTAGGCAAGTAAGAAAGAAACACAAATATCCTGTTCTTAAAACAAAAGCCTTGCCTTTCAGCACTCGGGATGCAAAAGCAGGTGGACCTCTGTGAGTTGGAAGCCAGCCTGGTCTACAGAGCAAGTTCCAGGACAGCCAGGGTTACAGAGAAACCCTGTCGGGGTGCGGGGGACGGGTGGGAGCGGGTTAGGGGCGGGGGCGGGGAACCTGGGAGTGCTGCCTGCTCTAGATAACCCTCCCCGCAGGGATCCGGGCCAGTGGCACCAAGTTTCCCAAGGCTGTGAAATTGTGAAATTCAGAGTTAGGAAATGCATTTAGCGGCTTGGGGAAGAGGCCACAGTTTTTGTGGAATTTACCCCTCCTCCAGAAGCGACCTTGGGAAGATGTAAAAGATGAAATGAGGAAAGCAGAATCCACAGCTGCCAAAGGCCTGGCCTGGTACTCCTGTTAGAGCTGAACTCCTGGGCCTCTTGCCTCTCTAGTGTTGGGACACAATACGCATGCACAGCCACACCCGCTTTTGACTTCTTGTGGAATACTGAAATCAGTTGTTTAGTTTTCTCCAGAGCCTGGGGATCCTCTGCTTTCTAAACCGAGTAAGAGAAGGTCCCAGTTGAGGATCAAGAGTGAGTCTCAACTGGCAGAGAGCTTGCCTAGCATCCTACGGGAGAAGTTCTATATTTGGTCCCAACACCACATACACCAGGTTTGGTAATTCCAGCACTCAGAAAGTGGAGGCTGGAGGTCAAGAGTTCAAGGTCATCCTGGATTTTGAGTGAGACCAGTTTGGATTAGAGAGACCCTGTCTAAAGAAGAAAAAGAGAAGTCCTGGGTCTGGAGAGGGCTCAGTGGTTCACAGAGGGAGACGGGTTGGTGCACACCTTTAATCCCAGCACTCAGGAGGCAGAGCCAGGCAGATCTCTGTGATTTCGAGGCCAGCCTGGTCACAGAGTGAGTTCCAGGACAGACAAGGCCATACACACACACACACACACACACACACACACACACACACATACACACACACCCTGTCTGGTAACAAAGAAACAAACAAAAGAAGAGCACTGACCGTTCTTGCAGAGGACATGAGTTCACTTCCTAGCGCCCACAACCACCTATAATTCTAGCTCTTATGACTTCCACCAGTGCACGGTACACAGACAGACACACATGCAGGTAAAACAGTTATACACATAAAATAAAATAAATAAATCTTAAAAAAGAAAGAAAGAAAGCCCTATCTAGATAAATGCTAGAAACATTTATTGCAAAGGAAATTGAGTTTCCAGTTTGGGAAAATAATAAAGTCAAGATGTTCTATAGCTCTCCAGGGAAATAACTCTTCTAGGATAGTGTTTGGTAAGTCCTGGTCACTTGTCCACTTATTGCCATTTTGGCTCCAGAGATGGTTCCTTGGCCATTCTAGGTCCCAGGTTCCCGAAGGCTTAGCTGGGGGAACTGTTTCAAAGTTCAGAAGCCGGGAAGCTGGTCCCAGCCCCACACCCCCTCAACCCCACACCCTTCCCGTGTGCTTTCGGTTGGTCAGATGTGGGGACAGGTGTCCCTTCACAGGTCTGAACAGGACTTTCTTCTTCTTCTTCTTCTTCTTTTTTTTTTTTTTTAAAGATTTATTTATTGTGTTTACAATGCTCTGCTTACATGTCTGCTTCAACACCAGAAGAGGGCACCAGACCCAATTACAGATGGCTGTGAGCCACCATGTGGTTGCTGGGAATTGAACTCAGGACCTTTGGAAGAGTAACCAGTACTCTTAACCTCTGAGCCATCTCTCCAGCCCGGACTTTCTTCTTTTTAAGTTTAATTTTTACTTTATTATTTTATATGCATAGGTATTTTGCCTGCATGTATGTCTGTGCACATTTGTGCCTGTTGTCCAGCAAAACGGGAAACAGACACTAAGTCCCTTGGAACTGGAAGTACAGATGGCTCACAGCCACCATGTGGTGCCTGGAAGTGACTCGGGTCCTCTGGAAGGCCATCCAATGAGTGCTCTTAACCTCTGAGCCATCTTTCCAACAGTTTACTTCTCTCCCCTCTAACTCCAGCAGCACAGGGACGGGGGTTGCGGTGGGTCTGAAACGTAATGGAACAAATTCTTTAAGGGTCCTTTGGATGTGCATCCCAAGTCAAACTCCTCCTTTATGAAGCTGCATAAGTTCAAGAGTAACCGCGCTGGAAACGCAGGATGTACACGTCAGGAGAACCAGGTTTAGATTTCAGCTCTGAGAAAATGCTGCCATTATAAGGTCTACAGGCCACTCTGTGATGTCCCAATTGTTTGCCAGTCTGTGACTTCTAGGCCAGAAACTGACCCACCTCCAATGTAGTGCAAGTGAATTTGTGGCGGTGATATCAAGCACTGCCCTTGCCCCTGCCCCGAGGCGGAGGCCGAGGCCGGACACTACCGTCTGGGCGTGTGCAGTAGTACCTGTTCACCACGCGCTTGCACTGGCCACACTTCACCGTGCAGCACCACTTAAAGTTGCAGTTACAGCTGCTCATGGTCTCTGTTCTCCTCTCTTCCACCTGCAGGCCACACTCGGTGCATAAGCGCCCACAGCTGCGCCGCTCCCTCCTGGAAGCACCACGCGCATTCTGCAGGCACTCACGTCCCTCTGTGCCTAGGATGCCCAGGCTGGCGTTGTGGGTGCAGTAGTCAGGTGAGTCCTCCAAGAAGATCAGCTCAGCCTCTGCGCTGGGAAGAAAAGCCTCTGTGGGAGCCCAGTGGCCCTCTGCTCTGTTGCCAGCACTTAGTTGGCGTTTATCTAGCTCAATTTTCTGTGCGCGGTCATACTTGGCCTTTAGGTAGTCTCCCATCTCCCGGAAGTCAGCCAGTTGCAGCCAGCACGTCTGGATGCTACAGCTGCCTGAGATGCCATGACATTTGCAAGTCCTTTTCATGGAGGCCCTCACTGCCTTCAGGGGGGTGGGGCAGGGAGGGAGGGAGGGAGAGGGGGGACAGGGAGATAGGGAGGGAGAGAGAAAGAAGAAAGAAGGGAGGGAGAAGGGGGCACAGGGAGGGAGGGAGGAAGGTGGAGAGAGAGAGAACACAAAGAATAACTTTTGGTGGAGAAGGCCAGTGATAAGCAGCCAAATGGAATATTCTAGAGCTGGAGCTGTGCTTTCTCGCTTTGGAAACCTGTGAGGATTATTGGGAAGCTCCTAAATTCTTGCTCATATCTATCCAAGGAGGACATTCAGGGGTTAAGGACCTATGCTGAGAAGCCTACTGCAGCCAGGAACCTGGCCCAACTCCATCATTTCTTCAGTGTGTCTCTTGGTCAGTTGAAACAAATATTGGATAAGATAGGGGCTGATGGTACAGCTCAAGGGACTTTGACAAGCATGTGTGAGGCCCACAATTTAGTCACCAGCATCTCAAAAAGTAAAAATATAATAACCATCAAAGAAACAATTTGTAAATGATGAAGAAATTACTACCTCCACAGTGTCTGCTATGAAGCCTGGAGCTAGACTGTTTTTGTCTGCGCCCTGTCAGCCTCCCTTTGGCCCCCCACACCCTCTCAGAAAGAAGGGATCTGAACCCATGTACCCTCAAGGCAGTGGAAGCTCACAGGAAAGTTTCAATGATTTTTGTTCTAAGTTCCACTTGCTTTCAGATATGAGTATTACTCCATCAGAGAAAACTTGTTGAAGAACAGATTCTACAGTCCCAACCTCTCGAATTCCAGACAGACTTTAGGACAATAATAATAGGCCTATGTTAATGTCTTAGTATGTCATTTAAGTGGTTGAAATCTTTTGTGGCCCTGTGGCCATACCTGTAATCCTCGCACTTGGCAGGCTGAGATAGAAAGGATTGCCATGAGTTCAAGGACTACACAGTGAAGTACCAGGCAAGCCGGGGCTACTTTAAAAAACCCCATTTTGATTTTGGAGAAAATACACACACACACACACACACACACACACACACACACACACGTGTGCATGCACCCATGTGAGAAACAGCACACCAAAAAAAAGGTATTAAAATGTAATATATGGGGGGCTGGAGAGATGGCTCAGTGATTAAGAGCACAGACTGCTCTTCCAGAGGACCTGGGTTCAATTCCCAGCACCCACATGGCAGCTCACAGCTGTCTATAACTCCAGTTCCAGGGGATCTGGCACCTTCATACAGATATACATGCAAGAAAAACACCAATGCACATGAAATAAAAATAAAGAAATTGTTGTTTTCAAAAAAATGTAATGCTTGGGTGTGAGGTCTGAGGCTTATCAACTGTATTGTCTGAGACAAGCCACTGTCTGAGACTTAACTGACTTTGTCATCCAAAAAACAGAGACAACTGCCTCCATTCTGCCCGAATGACATCAGGGATGGAACATGGGTGTGAGACGGCTCTGGATGACTGTGAGGAACTGTTGTACCCACCAGCCTACCGGCCCTGCTGTTGTGAAGATTCATCAGGGCCCTGGCATCCTTCCCTTTCTCCAGGCTGTCCACGAAGAGTCTGGAGATCTTTTCCCCAAATTCCACATTGTCGCTGCAGCCTCCCCAGATCCAGCCATGGCCACCTACAGGGATGGAAAAAAGAGTTCCGCATACAATGCTCAGCCAGAGCCCAGGGAAAGAGCCATGCTCTGTTATTCGACAGCTAAACCATCCCCAAGAGCCCAGATATGCTAAAGCTGTGTGTGTGAAGGTGAGAAAGAGAAGTGGAGGTATTTGGGGAGGGTGTTGGGGTCCTATACCCAAAGCCCTCTCTGGGCATTTCTCAACTCTAGGTGGCAAGCCCTCTGTGCCCACAGGAAGCATGGATACACGTGATGCCCTAGATGGCCTCTGAGGTTCTTTGTAGCTTAAACATTCTGGACTTCTGTACCTGTACAATAGTGTCTGAGCCCCCTCTACCCTCATTGGTAACAGGGGTCTGTAAATAGTTGGGGAGCTCTGGTTGAGGACATGCGATTCTTGTACCAGGATTGGTGTTCAGCTTTCTCATTCCTGGTCTCAGGGATCAAACTCAACCCTTGGCAGGCCATGAACTCTCCTGACTGCTAGGGATTCAAGAGAACTTGATTTGATAAGAAAACTCAGTCTGCACACAGTTCTGTAGCTCCTGCCTCTTCCAACCTCCATTAAAGCCCACGTTACCTGTTTTTCCATTTTTTGACCCATCACAGCCACAGTTGTCAAAGTCACCCATGCTGCAGTTCTTAGTGATGATGTACACGATTCCAGCAGAGCGGATAGCATGAATGAAGGATGACTCCCTTGTAGCTTTGGAGGGAAAGAGGGGGCCTGACTAGAAATGTGCATCGTCTTGGCCCAAAGCAAAGGCCTTGGGAAAACAATGCTGTTTGGTTGTTCTTGCCTCACCCCCTCAGGGTTTAAGGCCTGCCTTTCCCTCAGAGCTCATCATGCCTTTCACCCTCCTCATTTCATTCATCCAGGCAGGAATGGGCATCTCTGCACTCTGGTTTATAGACCCAGCTACAAGGCTGGTGTAGGCAATCCCGAGAAAGACTTCTATTTCTGAACACAGAGTATGGAGGCCACACATATATAGTGTGTGTACACATGTACATATGGATGCAGGTCACTGTTGGTCAGTAAGGCCCTGGGATCCTCCTGGCTCTGTTTCTGAGAGACAGGGTTACAGATGTGTGACACTACACCCAGGTCCAGCCCAGGGCCTTATCATTGTGCAGCCATGGCCCAGACCCCTGAGGTCTTATCTTACAAACACCCCTAGTCCCTAGTCTGCCTGCATGTTGGGGGCAGGGAGCTCTCCCTGCCCGTCTCCTTCATCCACCCAACTCTTCTCAGCAGCTCTATTGTTTCTGCTAATTCCTGGACCTAATTGTAAGCATGTGTGCACATGTGTGCAAGTGTGCACTTGCACTCTCATGCACACACAAATATATATACACCCATATGCACACATATACACACACATATATATCACACACATATATACTACACACAGACCCGTGCACACACATACATTACATGCATAAACACACATGTACATATATCACAAACATACATATACATACACATCAAGCATGCACGCACCCCACACAACATACATATATTCACATCACACATACACACAAACACACACATCACACATACACATACATCGTAACATATATACACATGTATATCAATATACATACACAGAAACACATTGCATATGCATGCACATCATACACACATACAAACATACACACACAAAAATAAAACAAACACGCATACACAAGTCACACATACCCACACATGTATCACAATACACCCATATATATATCACATACACACATACACACACACACACACACACACACACACTCAGTCACCTGAGGCAAATTTAGTCTGATCTTGCAAAATTATTGACACTAGGATTTTATGGTCATGGGGCAAATGTAACTCCTTCAATACCTCCATGGATGCCTTTCTCCATGTTTTGTTTCATTTCATGCAAATTGGAACAAGGTGAGTATGAATAAGCACACAAAGACAGAAATGCTTTAAAGCCTACGATAATATTTGTAATAAGACCCCTGTGTTCACGTCATTCAACCCTCAGAACACTCCTAGGACCTGGGAGATGGCTCAGCAGGTCAGGGCATGAGCATCCAAGCCTGATGACCTGAGTTCAATCCCAAACTCATGGTATAAGTAGAGAGCAAACTCCCCCAAGTTGTACACACACACACACACACACACACACACACACACACACACACCAGCAGACCCCCCAGGAAATAAATAAATGATACAGAACTCCTTCTGAGCAGGTCCGAGCCAGCACCCCCCACACTTGTATTGACAGAGGGCAAGTACCCCACTCAGGGTCACACAGCTGGGGAGCCATGTGTCAGGAGCTTGCCAGTTACTGTCACATTCCACTGTGCACACGCATTTCATATTCCCCTGTACTACAAGCCCACCGTATGGCGTGGCCCCATGAAAACTTACCTCCTCTCAGCCTGTTGTGGGTGGAGAACTGGAAAGCCTGCTCAGGGCAGTTCCACCGCTCCCAGGCAAACTGGAACTTACACTCTTCCGTGCCAGTCTGAGCGCCCAAGGCCACACTGGTGGCGTAGGTCATATAGGCCTGTGCCAGGAAAAGGACCGTGAGCTTTCCTGCACACAGGCCGTGTCAGGTCTGGGAGAAGGCAGACTCATAGAATAATTCCTCAGCAAGAAGACATAGTGGGGCCTGGGGACGTTGCTCAGTGGCTGAGCGCTTGCCTAGCATACACAAGGTCCTGGGTTCAGTCCTGGACACCACAAAACAACCCAAACTAAACAATGCTGGATTTCTCAGTGAAAGGTTCTGAACACCGCCCCCCTTTCCCCAGAAGAGTCCATCAGGGGCCCCAGTGGATAAAAACAGGAGAGACTGGAAGATATCCTACCTTGGGACCTGTTACCAGGAAATTGTTCACTGACCTACCAAAAAGAAAACCGGAGGTGAAGGGGGGTGACATGCTGGGCTTCCTCAGTGGGGAGCGAGGGCTGGGACACGACACGACTCACCAGGCAGAGGTACTGAAGGTGGCATAGCACATGCCTGCAGCCACCCACAGCATAAACAAGTGCCCCATGACCCTGCCCATCCCAGGGGACCAAGGCCAGCTCTGGGCCAAGTGCAGAGGAGTGAGGGGAAGGCAGACCCTTCCTCAGTATTTATGCGGGCAAATTCTCAATGGCTAAGAGGGAAAAATCAACAGCTCATCTAATTTGTCCCTCATTGGCCGAGCCGTGGCAGCCAATGACCCAATGGGAAATCAGAGAGGAGGGTCCTCAGCCCAAGGCCTTCGATGAGGCCACGCCCTTCTCTCCCAGACTGAGGGGGGGTCACTGCAGACAAAGTCCGCTTATCTCCTCCTGCTGGAGAAGACCCACTGCTTAGACGTGTAGCCTGGAGTGGTGTAAGTCCCTCCCCTGACCTCCAGTCACCCCTCCCTTGGAGCTGCAGGTCCTCCATGTGTTAATGAGGCTTCTCCCTGCCTCCTGATTCCTGCCACAGGCTCTTAATAATCACAGAGGAGCTTTTGGGGATCCCCCCTCCTAAATGAATGAGCACACTCACAGTCTCTGTCTTCCCTTGGTGACTTGGGGTGTTGCAAAGAGACCATCTTTGCAACAGCCCCCTCTACCACTTTTTGTTCAAGCAAGTTCTGGTATATTTCCTTCGTTTCTATATGTCTTCCCTTCTGTGTCTGCCGGTCAGTCAGATCTCTAGCTCATTATTGCTTACATATTTAATCAATCTTCGTGCCACCCAGGGCTATGTTTGAAAAGACCGCTGCCTTTATTTCTGTTTCCGGTATCTCTGCAGACATGGAGTGCCCGGCCGCTGGCATGCTTAGCACACTGAGTGACACTGTCTGCTGAGTGACACCCCGGCCTCCTCTTGAAGTTACTTTGTCACTAGGGTTTCAGCTACTTAGGCAGGAACCTGTCTTTTAGATTCACTGTGAGCTTAGTACTTGAGAAACAAAGGAAGGAAGGAGCTGATGGGCGTGTGGGGCTCTCTTAGGACTCAGGGCACTGTTAGGCAGGGTGGGGATGGGCTTCAAAGGGATTGAGCTCCTCCCTAGGGCTGGGGAAGCAAGGATTGGAAAACAACCCCAGCCATTGCCCTATGACTCTCTCAGGGCCCAGATCACTTCTCAGCACCCTGGGCTCACTTAGGAAGTGACATTGCCACACACACCAAAATAGTTTTAGCGTTTAGGCATCCCCAGGATCCTCCATGAACTCAAAGTAGGGGTCAGCCATGGTGTCAGTCAGACTGAAGGTCAGTCAGACCTTCAGTGACCAGATAATTATGAAAATAGTGTTTAGAGACATGTACTAACCCTATGCAATAATTTATATGTTAGATCTGGTTTTTGTTTTGGTTTATTTTTTTTATTTTTGGACTTTCCTTTGGTATGCTTTTTGTCTCAATGTTGTGGGTGTTCTCACAGGATGAAAGGTCTGCCATCTGGCCATAGCTTGCTTGTTGGGCTTCATTGCTGGGGGAAGAGAAGTTGCAGATTTAAGGCACTTGGGAAAAGTTTACTGAGTTTACCTTAGTAGTCTTTTCTCTATCCCTAATTTTCTTAATTAAAAAAAAAAAAACTCTGTAATTTAATCTTCGCTTTTTGGGAGAACAGGCTTGATTTTTGGAGCTACTCCCTGGGTTCGGGAGGGGATGGTTAACGGCATCTCAGCGTCGTTCCCTGTCTCACTTAGGGTTTCTATTGCTGTGAAGAGACACTGTGACCATGGTGACTCTTATGAAGGAACACATTTCATTGTGGGGGCTTGTTTGCAGTTCAGAGGTTCAGTCCATTGCCCTCATGATAGGACATGGTGAAGTGCAGGAAGGCATGGGGTTGTAGCTGTAACTGCGAGTCCTGCTTCCTGCAGGCAACAGGAAGTGGTCTGAGTGTTACACTGAGGGAAGCTTGAGCAAAAGAAATCTCGAAACCTGCTCCTACAGTAACACATTTCCTTCTTCATCAAGGCCACACTTCCTAACGGGGCCACTCCCTTTTGGGGGGCCTTTTTCTTTCAAGCCACCACATTCACATTTCTGCAGCCCCTAGAAAAACTTTCAGACTTGATCTTGTATTAACCTACTGTGGTGGTGGGGAGGTGGGTCTTATTCTTTTTGTTGGTGTTGTTTTGTTTTGTAGAGAAAGGTCTTATGCTATTACTCAGGCTGGCTCAAAACATGATATGTGTAGTCCAAGCCTGTCTTAAACTTGTGATCCTCCTGCCTCAACCACTAGATGCTAGGATTGTAGGAATATGTTCTCAGGTCTGGCTGACCAGGTCCTACTTTTCTGTGTGATCCCTGGTTGTGGCATTTAGTGGGTATCTTAGAAAAATATTCTTCCGTCTTCTAGAAAGCAGAGAAAGAAATGAGGATGATTTGATTTGGCCTGTGTGTTTGTATGTGTATGCATGCGTGCAAATACTTTGTGTTTGTTTCTGCTCAGAGTCAATAAAGATTGCACAGTTTATTTTTATATAAATGTTTAAAAAGTTAATGTCAGGCATTGGTGGTGCACACCTTTGATTCCAGCACTTGGGAGGCAGAGGCAGCCTGATCTCTGTGAGTCTGAGGCCAGCCTGATCAACAGAGTGAGTTCCAGGACTAATTACAAAGTAATACAGAGAAATCCTGTCTTGAAAAACCAAAAAATAAAATAAAATAAAAAATTGTTCAATTATTTTATGTGTATGAGTGTTGGAGCACTGTGTGTGGCAGGTGCCCTTAGAGGCAGAAGAGGGCATTAGAGTCTCCTTTGCAGACAGTTGTGAGCTGCCATGTGGGTGCTGCAAATCAAATCCGGGTCCTCTGCGAGAGCAGCGAGTGCTATTAACCACTAAGACACCTCTCCAACCCTAAGATGTTATGGTTTCTTTTTGAGCTAGGATTTCTCTGTGTAGCCCTAGCTGTCCTGGAACTCATTCTGTAGGCCAGGCTGGCCTCGAATTCACAGAGCTCCACCTGCCTCTGCCTTCTGAGTGCTGGGATTAAAGGTGTAAGCCACCATTGCCCATCGTATTATCTTGTTTACAATAATCTAAGTATGGGGTTATGTAATTTAAACAAACTTTTAGACTTTTTATTTTAGTGTGTATGAGTACTGTGCCTACATGTGTGTCTGTGCAGTGTGTGCATGCAGTGCCTGAAAAGTCCAGGAGAGGGCACTGGATCCCCTATGACTGGAACTACAGGCAGTTGTGAGCAGCCATGAAGGTGCTGGAAATGTAAACGGTCCTCTGGGAGAGCAGCAGTGCTCTTAGTCATTGTACCATCTCCCTATAATTTTACTTTTAGTATTGCCTGCATAACAACTAGTTCACAGCAGTTCTGGAAATATAACCACTTTCAGGATCCAAGCAAGCAGCATGCAGCATATATGCAAACACCTCTGAGAGGCATTCCCAGAGCTTGAAAGAGTGTGGCCAGAAAAATCCCAGAGGCATCTTGTACCTCCAGTGCTAGAGGATCATGGGATTTCAGGTGTTGTGGGGAAGCCCTGGGGATACCATCAGTGAGGGCTGAATCAGAAGTGTGAAGTTCGATGCACAGGGATATTTGTGGTGAGTGTCGTCCTACAGGGAGGAGCTGAGATCCAGGGTCTCAGACAGCCCAGAGCCCAGCCCATCATCCCGCTCCTCCAGAGATCGAAGTTTCAGACCTTCAGTGGTGCAAAGATGACTTACCCTACCACAAACCTGTGCTCCTTCTGAGTGCAGTCACTAACCTTCCCACGCAGGTTCCCCATTTCTTTCTAGGTCTGCTCAGCCTATGGAGCAAGTGGAGGAAGAGTTAGAAGCAGTATGGAAATCGGCATGAAGAAGGAACCCAGAGGAGAGACAGGGTTTCAGACTGTAAGCTTCTCTGCTCATTAGATGAGGAGGTGGGAAATGAGACCGAGCCTCCGCGCAGTCTTGAGAGGTGACACTGAGCACAGCTCTGGGGCTTTCAACCTCTGGTCTTCTCCCTTCCTCCCTGGAAGCCTGGCACCCCTTCCTGGGGATTCTGGAGTCAAAACCCACAGCAGCTTGAGTTCCTGATCCCAGCTTTGGCTTCCTCCATGTAGCCTCAGGGACTCGCCAAAGTCTCAACAGTATCTTCAGGGAAGAAAGCAGAATCGCTCAGTTTTTCCCCTTCAGCCTGGGGTTCCAGTGTAGGGAGGCAAAGAGGAGAGGCCTTCACGAACGGAAAGGAGTCAGGGGTCCTTGGAACACATAGGCGTGGTGGGTTGGCCTTACCAGGGGAATAGATGCAGATCTCGACTCTGGTGTGTTCCCTTTACTAGTCTGGGCCTTGTCAGTTCCGGCCACACAGGGATCTACCCAAAGACAGACACTTTTCTTCCAGCTCATTGAGGGGCCATAGGCTAACATCTTCACTCTTCACACTTTGCCTAGGGACGGTGGGAGTAGTCCGGGTGTGGTTGGGGAGGGGCTCGTCTGAAGTAAGGTTTCAGTTCAGGGGCTAAGGCTTGGTTTCCCGTTGCCTAACAGTTAGTTCTACCTGTGGACACTGGGTAAGACTCAAATTCTCAATTCTTTCTTTCTTTCTTTCGTTCTTTCTTTCTTTCTTTCTTTCTTTCTTTCTTTCTTTCTTTCTTTCCTTCTTTTTTCTTCCCTTTTCCAGTTTTTGCTTTGCTTTGTTTTTGTTTTAGAGAGAAGGTCTGTAATCCAAGCTGGCTCAAAATCAGCTATGTAGCTGAGGATGGACTTTTTCGATCCAACTGCCTACGTTTCCCAAGTGCTGGGATTTTAGGCCACTGTGGTATGAGGTACAGGGTTCCAGGAATGCCAGACGAGGACACTACAGACGCAATTACATCTCCAGCCTTCTCAAGTGTTTCTTTATTACTACTCTGTTCAGTTATTTGTTGACGAATTGTGCTTTTATTGTTGTTTTTTGAAATAGGGTCTCACTATGTGGCCCTGGCTGGTCTGTAGCTCGCTATGTAGACCAGGCTGGCTGTGAACTCACAGAGCTCTGCCTGCCTCTGTTTCTGGGGTGCTGGATTAAAGATGTGCACCACCACTTTTTTTTTTTTTTTCCCTACACTTATTCATTAGCTTATTT